AAAAAATCTTTCTTGTTTTCTTTCTTCTGGCGGCTAGGTCCGAAAGAGATGAAGGTAGTGGCTACCCGGGGCGGAGAGAAGCGGGTGGGGGAGCCACCGCTCCATTTATACCCGCCCGCCCCGGGCGCTGCTGGTCGAAGGGCGCCTTGCGACCTGGGCGCAGCCGTGCCCGCCCACTCGGCCCTGGGGCCCAAGGCGGGGCGGCCACGCGATAGCGAGCCGGAGGCCTCGCGGCGCCACAGCGGCCCCTGGCGTGAGGAGGACCACTCTGCTCTGGGTTTTCACCAGCCTCAAGGGCAACTTTTCCCAAATAGTTTACAGCCCCTCCACTGGTTCTGGGATCTTTAGATCATGTAACCACCCATTGTCCGATTGCTAAATTGTTGTTGTAAGAACAAATAAAATAACGGTAAATTAAAAGTCAGGTGGTTCAATATGGAAATTATTGGGCCTGAATACTAGAAAACACATTTTGAAGTTTTCAAAATCCAGATATTTACAGGCAGAGTTGTTGGTCATGCTATAACTTGAAAAGTAGATTGCTTTCTAAATTGAGATTTTACTGAAAAAACGACCACAGTTTAGTGAAGCTTCATTAAAACAAAATACAACCAATTTCCATGGTAGTGAAAGGCCTGGAAATTTGGTTTTCATTTTTGTGTACAGTAATTTTCATCTACATAAGGGTCCAGTAGGTCATTTGAAAGTTACGTGGGATATGGGATGATTCTGCTTTATGTGGAACCGTCTCCATACATTATAAGCTGTTATGAAACCTGTCAGAGCCAGAACTCAATGGGAACTGCTTTGCTTTCTTCCAAGTTTGACATTTTTCTGCCTTTCACAGTGTGCAGTGTGACTTTTCTACACTATTAGTGAATATATTAATTTTCCATATTTTTTACCATTCCCAACAAAGGTGATCATGGGACTTGTCAAACAAGATTATTACTATCACATGCAATAAAAATATTGCTGAAGATAAACCAAAAATGGCTACAACAATATGTAGACAAAGAACTGTCAGAAAGTTCAAGGTGAGTTTAGAAGAGGCTATGACACCAGGCATATCATTGCTGATGTCAAATGGATCCTGGCTTACAGCACACAATACCAGAAGAATATCTGTTTGTGCTTTATTGACTATGCAAAGGCATTTGACAATGTGGACTAAATAACAAATGGCTAACATTGAGAAGAATGGGAATTCCAGAGCACTTAATGGTGCTCATACAAAACCTATACCTATACTAAGAGGCTGTTGTATGAACAGAGCAAGGGAACACTCTTGTTGTTATGAGCCATCGAGTCGTTTGTGACTCATAGCAACCTTATGCACAAGAGCCCTAAAGTCTGCTCTATCCTGTGCCAACCTCACTATCTCTGACACACCTACTTCCATTACTCCAATCACTGAATAGATTCATCTCATCGAGGGTCTGCCTCTCTTGTACTGTCCCTTCACTCTTCCAAACATGATGTTCCTCTTCAAGGAGGCTATCAAGTTATGCTACCAAGCCCAAGGTGGGTGATTTTAGTCTGCGGCCCTAAGACCTGCTTCAAATTGGTTTTGTTTTTTGTTTGGTTTTTTTTACCCCGAAACATTCTTCTAGGTGGTATAGCACTGGTCTGTGCATTGCTGTACAGAGGTAACTCGTGGATGCTGTAATGCTAAACACTGTGACACTGATGTGCCAAATGTGATAATAGTCACCCATGGGGGACAGTGTTTGGTGGAGCTTCCCGATTAAAACAAGCTTGGAAGGAGGCATGGCATCCACTTCTGAAATGGCTTGCCTCTGGAAACTCTATGAACAGTGCTCAAGTCTTTCATTCATAGGGTCACTATGAGTCGTCTACGACTTGACAGCACCTATCAACAACAACAGGATGAATCTGTTTGTTCTCCTAGCAGCCCATGGTATATTCAACACTCTTCACCAGCACCACAGCTCAAAGACATCAATTCTCTTTATATCATCCCTAGTCACTGTCCAGCTCTCTGACACATAGCACACAATTGCAAAGACTATGGCCTGGATCAGGCGCACCTTAGTCTCCAGCCTGATGTCATTGCTCTTCAGTACTCTGGACAGTCCCTGAAAGCTGATTTTCCCAATGCAGTTTGTCTCTTGATTTCCTGGCTGCTGGTACCAAGAATGTTGACTGTGGAGCCAAGCAAACTAAAACTATTAACTATCTCAATCTCTTCACTATCCATATTGATGTTGCCAATTGACCCAATGGTGAGAATCTTTGTTTTCTTGATGTTGAGCTTCACTCCATATTGAAGGCTGCAGTCTTTGACCTGCATGGTTTAAAATTGGGAAAGGTGTGCATCAGGGTTGTGTCTTTCTCCATACCTATTCAACCTGTATGTTGAGCAAATGATTCAAGAAGCTGGACTCCACGAAGAAGAATGTGACATCAGGATCAAAGAAAGACACATCAACAACTTACATTATGTAGATGATACAGCCTTGCTTGCTGAAGTGAGGAAGATTTAAAGCACTTGGTGCAGAAGATCAAAGAATACAGCAGCCTTCAATATGAATTACACCTCAAATCAAGAAAACAAACCAAAAAGATCTCACCACTGGACTGACAAAAAGCATCATAATAGATGGAGAAAAGATTGAAACTGTCAATGACTCCATCTTACTTGGACTCACAATCAATACACTTGGTACCAGAAGTCAGGAGTTCAGGAGAATTATTCCACTAGGAAAGTTGGCAGTCTGGCGCCTCTCCAGATTATTGCAGAACAATGACATCAGCTTTAAAACTAAGGTGCTCCTGGTTAAGTCCATGGACTATGCAATCACTTGCAATGCATCTGAGAACTGGATGATGAATAAGGATGACAAATGATGACAATGAATTGAATATCCCACGGACTATCAAAAGAGCATGACAGAAGAAAAATAGATGTCTTTGACTTGTGATGCTTGAGAAGAGTCTTGACCATACCATGGACTACCAAGAGAACAAATAGGCCTGTCTTGGAGAGGGTGAAACCAAGTTTCTCCTTGGAGACTAGGATTTTTAAGCTCTGTCTCATATACTTTGGGCACAGGGCCAGGAGGGACCAGTCCTT